GAAGAAGGATGCAGACCTGGTGTGCACCAGACAGCACTCCCTGAATTCGTATTGCAGGGGGTATGGCAGTGCCACTGTGTGCCTGGCCTTTCTCCTGCAGGTAGATAGCGACATTTGCACCCACCAGAGGACAATTAAATGCAGAGCTTCAGAAGAGGGGATTCTGTGAGGGGCTGAGAGCAGGGGGAATGTTGCATTTAGCTTGTTAAAATAGCTCTCACAAAGAGAATGGCTGGGAAATGTATTCAATGCAACTCACCCAGGGAAAGGCTTGGAAAGCAGCCAGCTGTGCTGCTCCGGTCTTACAGAGCACTGAGGAAGAGGAAGGTAGATGGCCCTGGTGGAAGGAGAGCCATTCCTAATTGTCCTTGGGGCTTTCTGTGCCACTATGGGTCCTAGTGACCACTAGACCATCCAAAAGAGCTGACTGCTGTGGAAAAGCTCAGCTCCTGGGGAAAGTCCCTGCCTTCTGCTCCTTTCCCAGGCCATTGAGCAACTTATGGCAAAGCCAAGCATTGACCTCGAGTGTCCTGGCGTGCTGCCTGCGTGCTCCAACCACCAGACTGCAGTGCTGCTGCCTCCCTGCCACGAGGTCTTGACTGTTTTATTGCTCACCTGTTTAGGAGACTTCACACATTCAGCACAGAGGCTTATAAACCTACTGGGAAAACAGAGGAAGGGAAGAGGTGAAGGAGAAGTTCAGCCAAGAGTGAAATGCTCAGGAGGTGTAGGAACCTTGGGCTGGGCTGTGCCAGGGTCCATCACAGCCCGTGGAGGTGAGCAGATAATTTGCCCATGCCAGGATCACAGGGAGGTTGGTCTGGGGTCACCTGTGGGACCTCAGGACATCCAGCAGCCAAGGGCATCCTGTTGACTGCAGGTAGAGCTGGCAGGCAGCTCACTCTGCATCCACAGCTGTGAACTGGGCTTGGACCAGGGGTGAGAGTCTCCCAGATTCATTTCTCAGTCATTTATTCATATATAATTGCCTGTCTGCCTGTCTTAAAGCTAATGACTGGATGTGAAGATTTCCAGCTAGGGTTTGTGAGAAGGTAATTACACTGCAATCTCACTGTATGACTATTCCTTGAATGAAGATAAACTTGTTTGAGTAGGTCTGCACATCGCAGGAATCAGTTGTATTACAGAGACCAGGCATGGCAGGGGAGATAAGGGAATGTTTTCACTGCTGCTTTTTTATCTGCTGACCCATTAAAAGCTTTTCTGTCTGAAGGGGGTGAGGAGCAAGTAAAAGGGTTAATCCCACAGCTCCTCGCCCCTGATGAACACGATTTAAGTCTCCATCACTCGGTTGGGGATCAGTGGGTACCCTGAACTGCCTTTCAGGTAGGCGCTGCTTTGCTGAGGTGCTCGAGACAGAGCTCCAGCTCCATGAGGCTGATGGACTTAATCTATGAAGGCCCACAAGAGCTGGACAGAAATAGGCAGACACAGCTGGAGCCTGGGGAAACAAACCCAAAGCGGGAAAGCAGGCAGGGGACAATTGCACGGCTCATATCAGAAGGACCAGGGGAGCAGCTGTGCATCACCACGAGTTTGAGGCTGCTGCCAGAGCGATGTATTGGCTGACAGCAGGAGCTGCTTCCGATCAGCACTGCAGTGCATGTGCGAGCAGAGCACTCTGTCCCTGTGGGTGAAGCCATCTCTGGCCAGCATTATCAGGGCCTGCTGATGCACAGACATTCACTCTGTGATTAGAGGGCAGATAAACACAGAGCGTCCTCTCTAAACAGCAGCTAAGGAGATAGAAAAGTCCCACAGCAAGATAACTTTCCAGGCTCAATCACTTACAAGCCTGATGGTTAGATAAAGCTCTCTTCCATCTTTAGGATGCCCTTGCATTTTCCAAGACTGCAGAGTGATGGAACTCTATGCAAGAAAACAACCAAGTTTATCCATGCCTGTCAGAACCTGGGTATAATCCCCATCGCAGTTTACACCACTTACCAGCAGCCTTGTCATCCGATGCCATTTCCGTGCAGTGCACACTCAGCCACCCTGTGCAGCTGTGGTCCCACCCCAGTGACACTGCCCTGTCAGCTGTGTCAGGGCGCAGAGGCACCTCTCCTCTCTGCAGGGCTCTGCTCTGTTACTTTAAAGCTCTCACCCTTCTTCCAAGCACAAGCCAATGCACTGAGATCATCTCTCAGTCCCATCTAGCTGTTAAACCCCCTCAAATCTTTCTTGCTCAGCAGCACTTCATATAAATCCAGTAATGTGCATATCAGTTTGGCTGCCAACTGCTTTTGGGTCAGGAGGGAGGGGGCTGTGTGGGGTTATTATTACAGTCACCACTCCATTTCCCTAGGGGATGCCAGGAAACCACAAGCTGCCAGCAAACGTCTCGAGGACGGAGGCATGTTGGGGACCCCTGGGAGTCAGCTGGCAAATCTGATGCACTGGCTATGGATTAACAACCCATTAGGGCAGGGGCTCGGGGCTGCATTAAGCAAATCCTTCCCCTCAGCCTTTGCAGACGCTAGCGATTGTTTCCTCAAAGCAAGGCAGATTCAGCATGGGGATGGTGCTTAAGCATCAGGCTCGCACCATTAAATATCGGTGAGGGCTTAAGGGCATTGCACAGCACTTCCCTAAGGGAGATGAATGATTTCCTGGGATGAACCCAACTGGCCCACTCCGTGCTGCATTTGCTTGATGTTGACGCGGCCAAAAGAACACTCTTCGGCATGAATAAAACATGCTTCTTGAGTAGCAGCAGCAACTAGTTTGTCTGGAAGAGCCCCTGACTATGACAGGGCAAGATGTGTGAACCTGTCTTTCAAGGAATCGCTGTTTGAGCTGCTTTCGGGAGCAGCTCCACAATTACTCCTCTTCGCTACAGCAGGGAGCCCATGCAGGTGGAAAAGAAAACGCTTCCCCTATCCGATTTCTCTCTTCTGCAGCAAACATTGGGAATTGATGGCAAGCCCACCCTGGGGAAGTATTTTCCTCCACGGGCCATTAGATCCCCTGCAGGGTCATGACCCATTTGTCAGAGCTCTTCATGAGGTGGCTAGGAAACGTGCATTCAGATATGTGATACAGGCACTGCCAGCAGCATCCTGCTTTCTACCAGGACCAAGTGAAAACTGAAAAGATCTGGAAGCTTCTGCTTGAAGTGCAATGGTTTTGGGGGGGGGTGTGAGTCCAGCCCTGCCACTGCCCAGCGGTGCTGTACTGGGGAACGTCACACACCTGCTGTGTGCACTGGTTTGCCCACAGATCTGCAGCACCACAACTCTTCTCAAACGCATTGGATTTCCACATGGAAAGTCTGATGGAACAAATGTACGCTGCCAGCTCCTGAGCTGTGGATTGGCAGCACGGTGAGACGGGGTCTCTATGCCTGGAACTGCAGGGATATGGCGTGTTGAGATGGAAAAAGGGATGGGAAGAAATTAAAGATCTCAGCTTTGCTGCTGTGAAGCGCTCAAGCCTGCACCCAACATCAAGACGTTGAAATCAGCCTTGCTGACGCAGGGCTTCAAGTGATTAAGAACATTCGAATGAAATGTTTACCTCCTGGAAAACACCATTTTATCCAAAATAAAATCTTTGCAAGCAGGAAAATTTAATTTACAGATCAAACAAAAATAGTCCTAATGAAGCAGCGCTGCACAGCTGGAAGTTTCCAACCTAATTTGTCAAAATGAACATTAATATTCTCCTTTCATTTGTGACTTCATCACTTGAACTGCATTTTGTTACAATACCATAATGAAATGAGGTCACTACGAAAGGCTGCTCTTTAAAAAGCGAGCAATTGGCAGCACTTCCATAAGTCAGAGGTATCACTGTCTAAACAAATTCCAAACTGCTGGAGCTTTCTGCAAACTGGAGATGTGGCCATAGCTCTGCCATTAGGGGGGCTGGGGGGGAGGGAGGCGGAGCCATAAATCCTACAGGAAAGGGAAGTCTTCCTAGTGGGGAAGACAGTGAAATTCCAGATTGTTTTCTTTAAAGCCACGCTGGCTTCTCCATCATTGTGCCTCTTCAAGGAAGGAGCAAACAACGCCAGCCAGGACTAGCAGGGAAGGGGCAATTCTGCCTTGGGGCGAGGCTGCTGTGGCCCCATTTCATGCTGCTCTGCACCCATCTGTTACTCTGATGCTCCTTTGCCCAGCAAGGCAGTGGGATACCCCAGCCCCTTGGGGACTGCTGGAGGCAGGGGCTGTGCTGTGCCCTGGGCTCCCATCCCCTCTTCCCAGATGGGCTCCTGTGGTTTGAATGGACTGCTCAAAGCCCTGCAATATCACCGAGCAGGCAGCTGAGGAAAGACTTGATCAAAGTATAAACAAATTCTAAGTGCCTGAATCAAGAGAATGACACAAACTAACCCACCCCTTAAAGTGCCTGTGACCACAAACCACATCACTGCAGCAAAGGAGGCACACTTTTCTTGTTCTAAGTCATAAAAATTACTTACTGAGGTGACAAATTTATGGCTGGAGTAATTACACGATTACTTTATTATGTGCCACCAGCGTGAGAAATATATATTGAAAAGTCACTTATGTCCAAACCAAAAGGGCCAGCAAAGAATTATTGGAGGCAGTAAATAACTGTGACAAGTACAATTATTTACTTGGTTGGAAGCTGGAATTTCAGATTGAAAGCCGGCAGTCATGTTCAAAGAGCTCAGATGCAGTGGCAGCAATCTGTCCAACCCTCACGCTGTCCTTAGCACCGTGTGGAAGGTGATGGTAGGGAGCTGCAGCATAAACCCAGCTGGGCTGTGAGCTCTCCAGCACAGGTCCAGCCTTTCGGGTCCGTGCTCTCAGTCAGAGCCAGGGGCCCCAGACACCAGGGAGTGGAAGACAGAGGTGGCTTCTGCCCTGTGGGCAGCAGCACTGAGCCCCGATCCGGAGAACAAACCCAGGCATGGCCTCGGCTGAGCAGTGAGTTCCCACTGGCCCCATCAAGGATCTTCTAGTGCATTGAAATAAATAAATAAATGCCCTACTGAAGTGCTTTCTTACCTTGGGCTTTTCCGTGGTGGCACAGATCGCAACAGGGAGAACTGCATCCTGCAAACAGGAATTACCAGCTGTAAAGACAGAAAGCAGCAGACAGATGCTTTAAACCAACTTGGAAAGGAAGCAGTCACAATCCAGCAGTAAAGGAGGAGATCCTTACTCTCTTCCAAAGATTAGGGCTCACTAAAGCTCTGGAGAAAGCAATCTCTGTGTAGAGATGCTTCCCTTGCAGCTATCAGCCCTTATATGAGGTTAGGGAGGGGTGGATTCTGGGTGTATCCACAGACGTATTGCTTCCACCTGTGCTCATAGGGCTGGCTACGTCCCTTTACCAGGTGCACAATCACTGCTTCAGGCTGTGACCTAATGGCTCCCGTACACCAACACGCAGGACTGCATAGTGACAAGGGCTGGCAGGGTGAGGGGAGGGGATGCGGTGGCTCCGGCAGAGGAAAGGGGACCTGAGGTTGGGGCTGTGATGTGTCAGGGCCACCCCACCTGCGGTTGGACCTGAGCCGTGGTGCAGCCCTGTGCTGCTGATGGCAGCAGCCCCTGGGATCTGCCCGCCCCGGGGTACCGCAGTGCTTGCAGCTCTCACACGTGGTGACAAGTTGATCTCAGCTTTAATTTCTTCTGTTTTCATTTCACCGTCTGTTAAAGTACTTCCCTTCTAGTGCTCAGTTTTACCATCACCGTGAACCTCCGAAGCCATTCAGAAAACCCTGAGCTTGCCTCTGATCTCTCACTGCCGTCGGCTCCATTTGTGACTCTTAGATAGCAGATTTAAACTAAAGTTACTGAAAACCACTTCTTTTTCCTTAATTCCTTGCCAAGACATGAGATTGGAGTTCTAACGCTTCCTCTGTCAGACAAGGGTTTCTCAGGACACTGCGCATAAATCTTATCTGTATGGAATCGCTCTATTTTTGAGGGGAAAACAGAACTGAACTCTCATCTTAGAAGGCCAAAATAAAGCATGTAACCATAAAATGTATAAACATAATAAGGGTTTTAGCCCTATCCCAGTGGATTCACACTGTACATTCTTTTCTGCTTTCTTTTTCTTTTTACCAGGGAAATTGCTTCATCTGTTGACTAACAGACAAAATCGATGCCCGGTGAGCACAGGGGCAGCCTGGAGGCTCTGTGTGGGCAGAGCATGGCAGTCCTGCACCAGCCCAACAGGTCTCAGCCTGCTCGTGTTCTACCCAGGCAGGCAGCTGGGGCTGGGGGGAGCAGGACTGAGTCGGGGGGAGGCTGTGGGAAGCCTTAGTACAGAGCTTGTCCCAGGAGCCCCAAGTGCCCCGGATACTAATTGCTAATAAATGTGCATGCTGAGTAGCTTTTGTTTTTCCAGCAGGATGGAATAACAGAGAAAATATGTGCAAGTCCCCCGACTTCAAGAGTGTGTTTTTCTTTCATTTATATTTACCTAATTATGCTGTCACAGGCTGCTGAAAATCAGACCCTCATCCCCTCCCCACATCCCCAAAATGACCAAATAAGCAGAGCAGAGACTGCGGTGTGCTGACATTGCCGCCAGCCATAGAGGAGCCAAGGGAGGGATGCTCAGGGCTGCCTAAATCCCCTGGGCTGTCATCTGTACCATGGAAATGGGGCTCCAGCCCTACCTGCAGCAGGGAGGTGCAGCAGGATGGAGGCAGGGAGAGAGCTTAGGGCTGTGTGCTGCAGGTGCTGGATCCAGGGGGAGGTACTGCAGGTGGAAATATTGCAGGTTGCCATCCTCCCAGCAGGAGGAACAGGCAGCTCTGCTCTTGCATTTTGCCCGCGCTGCTTTGCAGAGCATGGCAAAGTGCACCTGAATGCTGAAAGATTGGTCCAAGAGCTGCATCCAGCCCTAGAGCTCCCAGCTGAGTGCCTGTGGCCTCAAGATCTGGAGCAGCTCATGGAGAGGAGCAGGAGTGGGAAAGGTAGAACACAGGGCTGTGGTGCATTCTTGGCATGCTGCTCATCTGAATAGATTGCGGAGGAGCAATTAAATGATTCTGTCAGATTAAGCTGTGAAAAGCAGGGCTCAGGCTGCAATGAGGAGCATGGGTCAGACATGGAGGGCAGCCCAGCCCTGTACAGAGGCTCACTGGGGAGGGAGATGTCAGCACTGGAGTGTTTTAACTTATTTGCAGCCTCAGAAGTTCAGAGCTTTAGTCAACAGGGTGCAGGAAAAGGGCTGGCAGGTTGTGCTGCTCATTTTAAGGTGAACCACCAGCACCACTTGACTGCCCTGTGTTACAAGGCAGCTTCGTTAATCTACTTAATTCCAAAGCTATTTATTAGACCCAAACCTCCAGAGGTGCTCCATAGATGTGGACCCGCAGCGCAGTGCTGGTTAGAGCAGGAGATGGAGCTCCACTGCATTCCTGGAATGAGAGATGAGCAGAAACCTCAGCTCTGCTCACAGGCGTGGGGCGAAATGCCTTGCGGGCACTAATGCAAATGTGAGCATGTATTCTAGTGTGCATGTAACTTAGTCAAACTGAAAGAATGCAGAAGTAAACAAACAAGCAGAAAGTCCTGCAGCGTGTCATGTGTTTTTTGCACAGAAAGAGCAGGGCAGAAGGAAGGCAATGTGGACATTACGTTGCAGAACTGCAAGGTTCTACAAGTGCCTGGGTGAGGCTGGGTGCTGAGCTCTACAGAGCCCAGCAACAGGCCCTGCTCCGTTCCCATCTTCCTCCCAGTCTGCAGAGGACAGGAAATGGCTCTGGATTTACAGAGCCTTGGATGACAGTGTGAAAGAAAATGCAAAAAGGCCAAACCTGACCAGGATTTTCCCGTGCTAATTAGGTACAAAACACTGGTTTTACTCCTCCATAGCTTGGATGAATCGCGGTCCCAGCCCAGGAGGAGATCGATTTCCATGTACAAACATAGCCTAAGGTCTCAGGATTTCCTCCCTTCGCTGCAGCTCTGGCCAATTTTGTTCTTGAGATAGAAACTGATGGAGAGAGGAAATGTTAAATTTGTGTGGGAGGTGACTGGGGCTTGTTCAGTGCTGGGCTGGGGGTTTGCAGCAAAGCCCTAATTGTGGCTCCTGATAACGGGAAACCTTAAGCACATCACTGCTTTATTGGCTTCAAACCCTGTCCAACAATTAAGCTTGTTTTTAAAAAGCTCCATTTCGCCTAATCTGCTTTGTGACCTTTATCTTGCCAAGCCCCAGTGGCCGCAGCCCACCTCTGTGCATGCTGAGGTTTGCTGTGAGCTTTGCTGCAGATGACAGCAGCACCGTGGCTGTGCATGCTGGGCAGGGGCTTCCACCTATCACTGCTGCACCTTGCCCTTGTGTTTAGCTAACAGGTAACGGAATCCTCCTTCCATCCAGGCTGAGGTACGCATTTACTCCTCTGGTTTGAGATAAGCATCCGTCCAAAGAGTTGCACGGCTTTTTCACGCAGCTAAGAGTTTCTCAGGAGCATGGCTGGGTTTCCTCACCCTGCGCACAGAGGAGCTGCCAGGGCTCTGCTGGGCTGGCACAGGGCTGCAGAGGGGCCCAGCACACGCAGACCCCCTCAGCTCTGCCCTCTGATGTGATTGGGATCTGTTGCCACGGGGAGCTGTGCTGGTACCCAAGTGCTGGCAGCACAGCCTATGCAGTATTTCACTTTGCACAGCATTTAAGCCAGCAGCGTGCGGCACAGTAACCACAACTGAGTGCACCGTGTGTACTTATAGATACAAATGTGTGCACATGTATTTACATAAAGAAAGCACGAGAGAATAGAGTCGTTGAGGAAGAGTAAAGCCAGCAGTGGGCTGGTAGTTAAAATCAGGTTTATTGAAATCGATTTGCAGCGCACAGTGCAGCAAGATGTGTTGTGCATACAGCAGTGAGGTATCACAGCCGGTTCTGAGCGGGGCTCTAGGAAACCCGGCCCCATTTTCCTCTGCCTCTGTACCAGGCAGCTCAGGAATGATGCTCACTGTGAATGCCCCACTGTTTTTTCCACAAGTTGCTCACGGAGCTGGGGCTCAGCTGGCCTGGCACCAGATAGGGCTACTGAAGCATTCCAGCCCCCTTCTCACCTGCAGAAATGGGCTGGTTTCCTCCAAAAATTAAAACCACCTCATTTCTATTGGATTCCTCCTCCCACAGCCCCTCTCCCTGCCTGCGCTGTGCTGCAGGACATGCAGGTTCGCAGTGCTGCTGCCCATTCCCTGCACTCCCTAATGACTCCATAGGCAAATCACACACCTGCCCTCCTCATGAACGGGAACGATGGCTCCAGAGAGCCACATGCAGGAGCTGCAAGCACCCGTCAGAGCTTCACCAGGACAGCACAGCCAGTGAGCTTTTGGGGAGCACAGTGGCATCTGAGAGCATTTTTGGGGCACTTGGGTTCTCTGAGCCCTCAATGCAATTGCCCCCTCCTCACCCTCCCCTCCTGCTTCAGTGCTGATGGTACTGCACAGATCTTATTGGTTTCCCTGTGGATCCTATCAGCCAAGGAATTTGCTCCTTTTTAAGGGCTCTTTTTTTTCCCTATTACTATTAAATGAATGCACTTCAAAATATGTGCATATATACATTTGCTTTGAGATGAAATTTCAGAGGTGAGGTTCTGCACACAAACTCCAGGCTCTTTCTGCCTCAATTACATGTTATATCCATACATGCATAACAGCTGAGTTACTCCATGAGCCCCCACTGTGCCTGTGCTCCCTGCAGAGCTGCAGCTCCTCCCCCAGTCCTGGGAATACCCTCCAGCTCCATCCAGCTCCATTCTCCTGTGACTGCCACCTGTCCCCAGCCCTTTTGGAGGAGGTGGCACTGATGGCACTGCTGTTGGGCTGCCTCACAAGAAGGCTTTGGTTGTGGTGTCTCCACAAAGCCCTCTTTCATTTCAGAGCAGCAGAGAGAGAGGTTGCACTTGTAGATCTGTCTGGCAAACCACTCCAGAAGGCGTTTGCAAGAGGCAGACAATGCTGCCAAGAATCTCATTACACACCCTGCTTCACTGCCTGGTCCTCCCTGGGAAGGATGCTCCACGGGCAGCCAATCCATAAAGCACACACTGGGTCACAGCCACAGCAGTGGCACTGGTGCCATTGG